ATCGAAAGTGAAACACGCCTCGCTCTCTCAGTACGCTTCGGGGCATTAGAGGGAGGTACTAATATTGCTGCTGCTGCTGTGTGTCGGCATGCACACACACAAGTTGTATGACCCAGCTCGGAACGCAGGCCCTCCCTCAACCAGCTCCCGCCCGACCCCCGCCTGTAGATTGATGGCAGTTGCTCACGCTCCTTCCTTCCTTCGTCGTGGTCGTCATTTGGTGTTCTTGCTGCTGTTTTAGGTGTTCGATGGTCTGCCGAGTGACGCGGTCAAGACGAGGTCAAGCTGAGCCAAGCTCCCCAGAGAGTCCGCTCCTCGCGCCGAAGGCGAAAAGAAGGCGGCGGCGGCAGCCGCGAGGGCCGCAGGCCTCGCAACAACAACGATAACGCCGAACGACCGTCGGGGTCGTCTGGCAGAGAAGCAGTGAGAGGAAAAGGGGGACTCGTGGAGGAAGGGAGCGAGGAGGAGGGACCAGGGCTGCTCGGGCGAGGTGAAACTTAAAATTTCGGCAAGGGGGGGCACCCGACACATCTGTAGCGGCGACGCTGTTTGGTCGATGCGCTCGCTATGTCGATAATGAAAAGTGGAGGTGAAATGCTGAATATTCTTGTCCCAAGAGACGCTGTCTGCGCTGCTTTGTTTTGTCACAGATCGCACCGGTCTCGATCCCGTTAGGAGGAGCGTACGAAACGGCGAATAGTTTGGATGTGAAGTTGTTTCGTACCACCCTGATCAAGACAGTAAACAAATCCCAGCTGCAAAAACCACCTCCCTCCCCCCCCGGTGTTTGCCATCGGGGTTGGGGTTTCGTCGCTTGGCAGCGATGTTGTAAAATAAGCCGATCAGTTCGTGAGCTCGGCAACGACGTTGCCGCTTTTTTTTGCCTTTGTTTTTTTTTGCGGTGACCATGAATGGTGGTCGAGCAGATAATGTTGGGCGGGGTCGAGAACCCTCACTCCGCGCAAAGGGGATAATCGCACCACGTTGTGTTAAATTGGTCAAGCACACCCTCGAGGCAGTTACACAGTGCTTTCAACTGTCCCTGGAAGTGAGAGGACCAGAAAATAAATCAAGTCATACGCAGCTGTCATCCGTATGCAAGGAAGTAAGCACAAGATGCCGAACACCCTTAGCAGGATGCAGCGCACCTTTCATGCGACTCGCCGAATACCTCAAGGCGCTTCGCGCTTGGTGATGTAAGAGCCTGGTCCGGTGAGAACCCGGCGTGCTCCGTCCCGGCTTTGTAGGGATGCGAGGTCAATGGTGTAACGACTACGGCATGCACGACTATGACTACACCCCCCCCCCCCCCCCTGGGACACCTCCCCACAGGGAGCGACGGCAAGTTAGAGATACCTTCGGCAGTGGCAAAGCCAGCTGAGGTTTCAGACAACTCAGCAGCAGAATGCCCTGTCACATGTGGAAGCCCGAACAAGCCACTTTGGATGCAGAATTGCCGAAGGGAGAGAGGTTGGCTACGGTCGAGTCTCTTATTCTCTTTGGCGCTCTACGACAGAGACCCTTAACCTAGACCTCGCTTCTCCGCACGCGGGCTTCGTGAGCTGTGGTTGTTGCGGGAGAGCTGAAGCTGATCGAGGATTGAGACGAAGCTGCGGTGTGGTTCGTTGTCGGTATCTTCGCAGATGTTATTCTATAAATTCCAGCCTGTCTCTCGTCCGTTCATTAGCTATTTATTCTTGTACGGGGCGGGGTTGCGACATTGTTGGGCGATTTATCATCGTTCAGATAGGTCGTGGGATGATGACTACGACTGGTACTGTCGCCGTTTGGGCGAGGCTGCCGGCTCATGCAGGTGCCCTCGGGTTTTAGGGTGGAGAGAAAATCAGCCACTAGAGTAGACAATCTGCACGTATAAGAGAGCGTGTCCGGCTCTTTGTTTTTCCTGTTGTGGTGTCGTGATGGAAGAGAGAGTCGTTCGGGAGAGGAAATACGTGGAAAGAAGTTGTCATTAGTGTCGTGGTTGCTTGAAACGCGCAAGAAGGAGGTGCCTGGGGGTACAAGGGGTGAGCGCGCTTGTCGGCAACCCAAGATCACGTGACTCTCAACTACCGTGTCTTTCTCGACTCGAAAGTAAATTTCGTGTTGCTTCTCAAGAATTCGACAGATGTACACGCCCACGCTCACTCATGCACGAGAAACCTGCCGTCTTCTTGGGGTCAAGTCCGTCCCTAGCAATGCCGTTTGTGGAGAAAACGTTTATTCTTGGCATTTGATGTTGTTGCCGTCGTCGTCGCTTCGAGTAGCCTGTCTCTCGCACCTCTACAACAACCAGCAACTTCGTGTTTGTCATTTCGTCATTTCCTACGCTACAGCGACAACACAGCATTTCTTTCGCCCTCCCCCCCCCAAAGGGCATGCGCAAAACAAGTCGCACCCCCCCCCCTCCCCCGTCCCTGGGCCCCAAGCGCTCATCTCGCTCCCGGCTGGCAACTTCCGATCGGAGGGGACACACACCGAGAGTCACAACAGGGCGACATTTCCTCGCCCCAGAGGTCCGCCCACCAGAGTTCTCTCTTCTCCCAAAACCAAGAAAAGAACCAAGCAACCCCGGAATTGCGTAGTCTAAGGCAACATAATTTCTTCTCTTCTCCATCGCCGCCCTCCCCCAATCCGTCCCCTTCAAAAAACATCGACGGCGCCCCTTCTGGAGTGTATGCTGGTCCTTCTTTTGTGTTCGACGAAAAGGCGCCATCATTTTGTGCGGCCCCCTCGCGAAATCACACTGTTGAACACAGTAGGAAAAGTGTTCTGTAAGCTGCTGAACGATAGGATAGTGGGAGTATTGGAGAAGAAACGTAGCATTAGTGAGGGCCAGGCAGGTTTCCGACAGAAGAGGGGGTGCGTAGACCACGCATTCACGGTAGGGAGAATCATCCAAGGTAGAAAGAGGGCGGGCAAGCGGACGTACTGCTTCTTCCTGGACGTGAAAAAGGCATACGATACCGTATGGAGAAATGGGCTGTGGAAACAATTGTCCAAGTACGGGATCAAGGGGAAAATGTGGAGGGTGCTGAAGAAGATGACAGAGTGTACGAAAAGCGCGGTCATGCTAGACGGAGAACTGTCTAAATTCTTCGACATTGAGCAAGGGGTCCCACAAGGTTGCACGCTGTCCCCAACATTGTTCCAGGTGTTCATCAACGATCTGTTGGAAGTCGTAGAGGCAGTCCGGAAGGGAGTAAAAGTAGGGGACACGGAAACTTCGGTGTCAGGAATGCTGTTTGCGGATGACTTTGTTGGTATGTCGGACACCCCTGAGGGACTGCAACTGCAAATTGACGCGGCGAAGAAGTTTACTGATAAGTGGAGATTGTCTGCCAACGTTACGAAGAGTGCCGTCATGGTATGCAACGAGGGCAGGGAGGAACCAGTAGAACATAGATGGAAGTGGGGGATCGAGGAGATTGCAGTAGTCGACCAGTACACATACCTCGGAGTAGAGATCGCAAAAGATTGCTCGTGGAATGCACACATGTCCAAGGTAGCGGAAAAGGGCAAAGCACGAGCAGGGAAGCTGCACCCAATACTCGCAAACCGGCACCTTGATACACGCATCAAATTGACGGTTTTGAAGAGCGTAATCGTACCGCCGCTGGAGTACGCCGGAGAAGTATGGGAAGGAAATTAGAAGGTAGTGAAAGAACTCGAGGCGGCGCAGATGAAAGCAGCGAAAATTATCCTAGGATGCTCCAAGCGCACAAGTAATGCAGCAGTCAGGGCAGAATTGGGGATCCAATCCCTACGGTCGGGAAGAGACGTAAGGAAGCTGACATGGCAGTACCGCATGTGCGGGATGGGAGAGGAGAGGTTGCCGAGAATAGTATGGGAGGCGAAGTGGGCAAATAAAAAGAGGGGTAGGCAACCCACGGAATGGGTCAAGGTTGTAGAGGACGTATGGAAGGGATTGGACATCGACGAAGATGAAACGCTGGAAACGGAGGGTCTACAGGGGTTCAAGAAGAAGATATCTGTTGCTTGTGCCGACAGAGAAGAACAGAATCTAAGGAAAGAATCCAAGGATAAGGAGGGTCTAGAAGTGTACGGAATGTTGAAAGAAGGAATAAGGTTCAAGGATTACCTACATGGACCAATGGATGCAGGGACAAAGCTTAAGGTCAAATTCAGGACCGGGGACATAGGCCTTCGCGAACGTCGACGAAGACATAGGACGGTAGACGACGAAGACGACAAGTTCAAATGTGATTGCGGCTTCGAATGCGAAGACAGTGTTCATGTAGTCGCGGAATGTCCGTGGTACGAAAAGGAGAGGGAAGTGTACATGACTGAGCTGGGAAGAATACAAGGGACGTACAGGGAGATGTTTGAGGCATGGAATAGAGAGGAGAGGACGGTAGCGGTACTGGGGAGTAGGAAGTGGTTTGAAAAGGCGGGAAGTGACATCGGTAGGATAGACAGACTAGGGAAGACATTTTTGAGCCACCTTTGGCAAAGTAGGAAGGAACGATTGGCCATCGGTGATCGGTCCTGTGGGAACAATGCTCCGTCCTCTCGAGGACGCGTGGTCAATGGTCTAACCGCTAAGGCATGCAAAGCATAAGAGTACGCCCCCCCCCTCGCGAAAACAGGGATGCCAGGAATGGTCTAACGACTACGGTATCTGACATGAGTACCCCTCCCCCCCCCCGCG